TGGCTCCTTGGTTCAGTTTTATGTGAAAGAATCTTTTCAACCAACCAAACAGAAAATGAACTGAACTCATGACCCTCTAAGGTTCGAGCTGCTTCCATGTTTCAACACCTTCTGGACCAGAACTGTAACGCTGACCTGTCCTGTCTTTAATCCACTGCAGATCAAACAGATTCTACAGCTGATTTACTCTGATCTAACGAACTTTGGGATCATGATTGTAGCTCAGCAGGCTTAGAAGGACTGAGATGTGTTGTCATGGTAACAGGCACTGAGCGATTGATTGTGCTTGGAGGGGGTAATTATGTGATGTGTGGTAGTGGTGGTGGTGGGGGGTCGAACATCTGTTTTCATTTCAAATATTCAGATGTGTGTTACAGGAAGCAGAGGAGCTGTTGTTCTGCCAAACTGGTTCCAGTTCTGATTCAGACTAGAGAGACGATCTGATCGGCCTAGATGGAGAAGAAATAGACTGGAATGGATTCAGTTCTTTCTTAAATTTGTACCGTTTTATTGCAGAGACGAATGATAGAAAGCATAAAGTCAACATCCGCCGTCTGTCTTTAGCTTCCAACAATCAGTTCCTCTGGATTTACACGGTTCTGTCTGGAAAAATCTGGAATTTTCTTTTGAGTTTGTGAAAAAAAAAATGTTAGCGGCTTCAGATTTGACTCGATGTTCTGAGTTACCACATTTCAGCTGTGCCTGAACATCCACCCTAACCCCTAAATCCCTCTATTACTATATAGAGTGGGGACTATATAATGGACTTTATAGTGATGGTTGGTTAACTGACCATTTGGACAGATGATCACTACTTTTCGTTCCCCGTTGGTCACATTTCTCTGCCTCCCTGCACCGTCCCTGCGCCATCTTTGTTTTTTGTCGCCCACTACCTGACAGCGGCCCGCTGTGACTACAAATCCCATGATGCTTTGTGAGGAGAGCTCTCACAAAGCAATCTGGGAGATCTAGTCTAGTGACCATGGATGACCACTGCTTTTCAAGGTGCATTGAAATTTCAAATCCACTAGTTTTTTTATCTACTAGACGTTCGGACACTCATTTAAAATGACGTAACCAATATACAGTGATTAGGGCGGATGTTCAGATATAGCCCACTTCTTTAATATATGCTTTAAATTTTGCTCTAATCCAGTTTTTTGTATTTTAGTGATTACTCTTGTAGCATTTAGCTGTAGTTATATTGAATAAACAACAAAGCTTAACAAAGCAAATAAATTAGCCCTCAAACCATTTTACTATTATAAATTTAAATGTTCACCAGATTAAAATCCCTTTCTGTCATTATTAGCCGTTTTGGATTGAAACAGGCCCAAACGTACCCAGCAGTAATGGAGCTGAGTTATGGTTATCTAACCTTGGTAATGGTGCTTTGGGCTGTAAATCACCATCTCTATCATGATACAATAATGTATCATTTGCTTGAATGGAGATACGATGATAACCACTAAGTTTGTTCTAAAGATGAAAACGTGGATCAATATTTTCATTTCGGATTAATTAAAATGGATCAGAAAGCATCAAATGATAAATATGGATGTGAAGTCATGTTATTTTCATACTGAGAAACACCAATTCAAATTAATAACCTTGTTTTTAATTTGCTTAAGTTATTGGGTTTGATAGAATTACTTAAAGTAGTAATATTCATAATATTGAAGGTTTTAAATTTAAATTGAGTTCTAAAAAAAACCTGAGTGGATATATTTTTTCCCAACCAAAACATTTTATTTAGTGGTTTTTATACGAAAAACAGACTAAATATTTCATAAAATATGTCCGCCCCAGTCCGGGAACCATTACTGGGACCAGTTTGGTAGAAAAGGAGTGTTTTATAAAGAGCTTCTGCTTCTTTAAATCGCTTCTTTACGACTTTATTAGGTTTGGCCATAAAGTGCAACAAGCGTTAGTTATCTATACAACAGGAACAGTAATTAATTTAGCTTTATAACAGCAGCTCAGATGTTTTCCTCAAAGTTTGAACCGTTGATGGAGTTCATGCAGAAAGACGAGAGGAAAATCTGGATGTTTGGAAGGAAAATATTTTTTAAAAAACTAGACTGGATCAGAACTCACTGCAGGACTGTAGTTCTTCTTTTACTGAAATTTGCTCCTTTGCGCTAAAATAAGATGCTTTATATTCATAGTTATATTTATTTATATACACAGTATAATTTATTTATCTTTTATTCTGTATAATAGTAGAAATGTGGTTCAGTTTGTTCATGCAGAGGCAGCACCTCTTTAATGAGGGGTTTAAATCCTATAAAATATATGAATCTGCCTAACTTTACTGCATCATAAACATTTAAATATGCGGGTCTTAAAAGCAGATCTGGTTTTCTAGATGACTAACAGCTTCTTTAGCTGAATTCTAGTCATAATTTCCTCTTTTGGCACAAAAATCTTCCCTGTTTGTTTTTATAAAAAGCTTATAAACATAAGTAAACGGGGCTCCTTTTATTACGGTTTTCATATTTGAAGGCAACTCCACTTATGGCAGGAAGCATCATCCCTTATATGGCAGGGGAGGAATCTCCTTTTATGGCCTGTTCCTGTGACACCGTCGTCAGGGCGATATGGCCTCGTTTTAATCGATTGGTTTCCGGCTGATTGATCTGGAATCGGAGTGAGGAAGATGCATGAAGAGGAGGAGGAAGGTATAGTCTGTACAGATGGCTTTAAACAGATAGCACCGTGTACAGTAAGCCCTCAGTAAGCAGGTTAGAAACCAGAGAGGTCGGAGCTCTGCAGCAGCTCTCCCTGAAACACACCAACACGTCGGCACAAAGTCACACTCATCGACAAATCATTATGAACTCCAAAACTTCTGCTGGAAATTCAACTCATTGTCAAATCATAACTAAAAATCTGTTTCCAGACGACTAAAAGCTCTGTACGGCATCACCACCACGCTAGTATTATTATTACTTATTGATTAATTCTAAATGATCTCCATTAACATATAAACTCATGTCTAAAGGAACACAAAAGCTTTGATATGTTGAAGGGGGGGTTAAAGAAATCACAACAGCTTTCAGGAAAGGACAAAAATATGAGTGTTCAGTTTTTCAAAAAGTCCTCGAAGGTCCCGGATCATCCAGATAAACCCGGCATGGAGGGAGAACCCGTCTCATTGATCGTTGCTTCTTCTTGTGAGAAGCAGCACAGCTCTGAGTCCAGCTCCTGCCAACATATGAACCATCGCAGCTCTTCAGAAAAAAATGTTTATTCTCCTCAGAAGTCCCTTTATTAGACTCCAGATCCATTAAAAGCTTTTATTTATTAACAAAAATTTATTAAATTAGCTCCAGTGTGCTTCACTGCATGCCCAATCTCTTTAGAAACGGCAAAATAAGTTTGACTACCAATGAGTGTTTATTATTTATAGCTTGCGGTTATTTTATGCTGGTTGAAATGTTGTAACCCTGTTAGTTCAGTTAAACACGGTTTTCTCTACATCCCAAAGATCAAAGAACAGAAACGACGGCTAACGGAGAAGTTAAGTCAGGATTTTACGGAGAGCATCTGGAAAATATCGTCTGTAAAGGTCGGCCATCGAAAATGGCGAGAATCTGCTCTGATCGCTTTTATCTCAGTATTTTTGTTTTTCTCACTGCTCAAGACTATCAAATCAGGCTGGTCATGGTTGCCTAGCGCTGCGATTCCGACCTTAAAAGAGCGTGGAATATTGTATTAGCATTTATTAGCATTTTTTCCTTGTATTGCGTCATCATTAATGCACGCAGCAGACATGCCTTTAGATAACATGAAGCGCATGCATCGCTGCTTCCTCCATCTGCTGTCCAGTAATCGTTTGTGTTTTTTTGTTGATAGTTTTGTGTTCTTTGTAACATTGTCAAGAGAAAGAAATATCACCTTCAAAACATCGGGGATTAGTTAGACTGATGTCCGATAATTGGTATTTACATCGGCATTAAAAACGCAGCATCAGCCCATCTTTTGTATTGTTATCTTTTAATGGAAATAAGTTAACATCTACATTTTGTTGGTTTGGATTATTTTCCTTCGACTGTGACCTTTGGCAGTTTTTCGGCGACAAAATGTTTTGATGTTCTTTGTGACTTTAGAGATATTTGTTTATTTCACGTCAGTCAAATTTGCCCTAATGGACGGAATTTATCTAAGAATTGAGTTCCAAAGTATATTTTACTATATCCATTTCTTTTATCTCATACAAAATGACACACAAAATTTAAGATTAGTTATGATTAAAATCTGAAGTTTAGTTCAGCGTTGGGGAAAGTAGACCAGATTTCCTCAAGTTCTTAATCCAATATTTACTAGTTTTACAAATTTTATAAACAGCAAATGAAAATTTTGAACGTTTTCTTGCCAATTATGGGCTCGTGTCGGCAAATTCACGCCAGATGTTCATAACAACCAAAGTTATCTACATATACAAGAAATCAGAAGGGTGTATTTATGAATTATCTTTGTAATTAACACATAAGTGACAAAAGTGCAGAAAGCAAAGAAAACGGCTGAACTCTGTTAGTATGATAAAGAAATCTAGCTTTCTATCAGTGCAAATATCAGTTTAATCCCAAATGGTGGCTTCTAAAATGATTTTGCTTCTCATTAGCTTTTAAGGAAAGAGCTTTAAAACTTTTTCCAATCTTAATGTTGAGAAACACACAGATGGGTTTGATTACAGACGTACATGTCTGTCCAGGTGCTCTTTACTGTTAGAAAAGCTGAGATTTAACAGAGTTGCCTGAAGCCGGGCTTAAACTGTACAATTTTTTGCCCTTTTCTGGCCGACCTTCCAGTCGTGTGAGAATTTTGCGATCAGGATGACTTTCAGCCTGATGGTGCGTTGTGTAGTGTTGTATGGGGGTAAGAGGTGTGAACAGCCTCTCACCACCACCTCACGATCAGGAATCAGAAGGTCGGGAAAAAATCAAACATATTTGAAATTCAGTCGGCTGTCGTGGGAAAATCGCTCAGTCACAAGGTTACTTCTTCCGCTCAGATGAGAACACAGTAGCATGGCGGGGGTGCGAGTGAAATGGAAATTGACAGACCATAGTAGCCTCGTTTGTTCAGCCATGTCTTTGTCTAAATACGTCATCGGCTTTTCTTTTTGGGGCTTTCAGCACAAATTGCTGAGGCAGCGCGTTTCACTCTAACTTCATATTCCTCTTGTGCCTTTTTTGTCTTCCGCATAGACGAGTCCAAGCAGTGCCATCTCTCTGAGGAGCTGAATCCGACGTGTATTTTTAGACGTACAGTGTGAGCAGGTAGATCGCATCAGATAGTCGATTCGCACAGTGTGAGCTGTGAACTCGCACTGTAAAATGAAACCTCAGGGTTTCTTCGTACAGTGTGAGCTGTAGCTTTATGCAACGATTGAAAAAAATCGCACAGTGTACCCCCGGCTTCAGAGACACCTTGGCCTCCATTTTCACTAGCAGCACAACACTCCACTGCAGAAGGAAAACATGTTTGTTTAGGATTTGCTGCGAAACTTTAAGACAGGCCCATTAAAAACGGGAAAGTGTTGTCTGTTCAGATACGTCCCATGTTGAATTTCTGTCAAGACATCAGCCCCCCCCCCCAATAATACCATAAAAACAGAGAAACAAGGTGAAGCTCCTGGATCGGACTGAACAATCATCAGGTTTTTGTCTAATTGAAGCTAAGTAAGCGGTGCTGAAACCTTCTAGATTGGGATGAATTTTGTATGAGACTAGGTCCAAATAACATAAATGTTTCAAGACAAGTTGACTATATAAAAAAAGAAAAAAGCTTTTGTTTCGTTCAGTATATTTAAGAAGCTTGTTTAAACATTATTCCATGAACAAGGAATTATTTGTTTGTATTTCTTTTTTCCTAAGTTACTTTGGTAATATCCGATATCTGGTGTGAATAAGTGACAACAAGGCTTCGACCGGGATGTCATCAGGAGCTGAACTCAGAGCTGGTGCTCCAAGAGCTGATCAGCCGAAACATTTCAGAGATCTGGGCGTCAACAAAATGGGCGTGATTCTGTAATGGCTGAGATATTGAATTAAGGAGATGGGCTGGGGTCTGACCTGAGGTCAGGGGTCGTGAGGTCAGAGTTCTGGATGCCTAGAGGTGATGGGTGAGAGGCGAGGGGTCAAGTGGAGCTCTCCAGCAACTGTCTGAGAGCCCTCTCGATGTTGATGCGGTGTCCTAGTCTGGTGACGCCCAGCTCCACGTAGTCCTCCTTGGTGAGGGCAGGGAGGTGGGAGCCTTCGATCTCGTGCTCCTGGAAGCGCTGGCGGTGTTCGGCCAGGCCCATGCTCTCCAACCAGTCGCCCACATCGTATTTATTCCACAGGTTTAGAGGCCGCTGCCTCCAGGGCCGGAGGGCCAACAGGGGCCCACTGAGGACCGGAGACGGGCAGGGGGAGGCATGGGGCGAAGGCGAAGGAGAGCGGGATCTGGTTCGTGCACTGGCGCTTCTCATAACGAAACGGACCTCCTTCGGCTCCGATGGCAGGCTGAGACTTGAAGACTTCAGGATGGTCAGACCTCGACCCGAGCTCAGATCCGGCCGTTCTGAGCAAGGCGCAGGGGAGGAGCCCAGCCCCATGGAGCGATCTGAGGGGGAGGGAGAAGGGGAGGGGCTTCTGCGGGTGACGGGGTAGCGGCTTCCTGGTCGGACTGTGTAGCTGGTGCCATATCCGCGCTGGGAGATGGTGTGAAGTTCGCCAAGGCTGGAGAACAACCTGCAGAACATCAAACACAGATCATCCTCCACATCCTAACCAGTAGGATTGACTTTCCAACAGCAAGAATTACTGATTAAAGGCAGAGAGTAAAATTATCTCATCTTTAACACAGGGCCATTAGGAAAGAAATATGCATTTGAAGTTGAAGTGTGAGACGATATTGACATTTTCTAGTATTAGACCAAAACATTGTAATAAAGGATAAATGTAATAATTTAAAGGCAACTGATAAAATAGTTTTTATTAAAATAAGTCTGTGGGAGAAAACAAGATGCAGGAGAACAACTAAGAGATGTAATGGTGGTTTTGTTATGGACAGTTTTCATGGATTAGATTACAGCTAATCCTACAAGGTTGGCTTCGGCTTATATACGTTTCCTAATAGGGCTGGAGGATATGACATCATATCAATATCACGATAAATAGGGCAGTTTTACCGTAATAAAGATAAAAGCATGAGAAATGCTCCGGCTCCTCTATCAGAAATAAAATGCAGGAAATGCAACTGATCTATTTATAATTTATTTATGGAATACATCACATTAAATATTACTTTCATTTAAATATTAAAGGCTTGTACCCATTCAGGTTGAAACATTCAACAATGTCTCATTGAACAAACATTTTTGCACAAAGGTAAAGGAGCCTTTTTCACATCTTAGAACTCAGCAGCGTGGCTGAGCTGTAGGTGGTGGGAGAGGTTGGATGTGTTACTTTGGGCAGTCCTGAGAGTTTTCAGACAAACTTAGCATTTCATGTTCTTCTGCTCAACATCTATGGCATTATTTTGGTGGCATCGAACTGAGCGTGCAGTGAGAACAAAGTGCATCGTTTAAACCTGCACACCTTCAGTCCAAAACTGTGTGCTGAGCGCTCAACTCTGACAAAGCGCTCTTGGCTTCTTCTCTGCACGCTCAGCTTCATCTCTGCTCTTGCTCGGCTCCACAGGATTAACTGATGTAATTTTATTTACAGCTGTTAGATGCTTCTTCACTGGGATCATCCGCCATTCTCTTTGTTCACGGATGGAGTCAGGTGATTCCACACCTGCTGCCGCGTCTTAAAGAGGAAGGAACTACCAGCCACCAGCGTACACAGGAAAAATGGAAGAATTAAGTTTATTTCTTTTACCCACATTGCAAAATTTTCGCCAATTATCGTAGTGAATGACGGTAACGTAAAAATCCGGTTTATCGCCCAGCTCTATTTGCTAAGGATCTGCAGCTGAATTTCAAAGTGGGTGAAGCAGCTTAGATGAGGCTGTTGCATCATTTTAGCCGTCACCCTCCGGCTCAGAGTCTGACTCTGTAGTCTAGAGGTCGGCTCTGAATGGTTCTGATCCTCCCAAAAAAGTTAAAAACAATCCACTGGACTTTGTTTCCAAGTGTGAAGACATTTCCCTTCCCATCCAGGAAGCTTTTTCAATTCAAAATGTCAGAAACAGCGTTAAGTTCAAAGCTTTATAGAGTGGACCAAAGCAAAGCCTTGTTTTGGCTTAGAAGACATGCAAATTGAGCCGGATGAATGGGTCCGCCCCTTTGGTTTCGGGGTTATTTGGGTTCTTTGTTAGCCTGCAATACCCGATACCTGTCTATGTCTCTGAAATGGGGGGTCGTTAGATGGAATTGTTGGCCTGGCTGAACAGGTGAGATGTTGTTGTTCCCTGTAAGGGGGTGAGGGTCGCAATGATAGTGGGAAGGAATCAACTCTATTGCTGATTTGTAGGTTTTTGAAAGGTGAAATCTGAGTCCACCCCCTCTGTTTAAGGTTTTTCTTTCTTAACATAGGTGGATTCCTTCACGTCCCTTTCAACCCAACTATCCTCTCTGTCCAAAATGTGAACATTGTGGTTCTCAAAAGAATGTCCTTGGTCCACAAGGTGTAGATGTACTGCTGAGTCTTGGTCGCTCTTCTGTGTTGGGCCATGAGTCTGTGGAGAGGTTGTTTGGTTTCTCCACCTCGGGATAAGACTCAGAGCATTCCTCACTGCATTGAACTGCATACTCCACTCCGCTCATATTTGGTCTGGAGTTTTGTCTTTAGGATGAACTAGTGTTCTGATCCGTAAGGTGTGATGTCTCCATGATGTATTTCTAAGCATCACTACCTTCTCCAGAGCTTGAACTAGCTGATGGTTCAACATTGAACTAGCTCTAAAGGTGTTCTCCCTCTGACGTCGCCACACAGACCTGCATACACAGAGTGCTGCTAAATCTACTAAATGTAGGAACTTTGTAGCTCAGAGCCTCCTGGTATGTTCTTCTGCACGATTTGAATGGAAATTTACATGATATCAATATTGTGTCATAAACACTTTAACCTCTTAAACCCCCCCTAATTTGAAGTGATCATCACCTATTTTTCATACCCAAATGGAAAAGCAAATAACTTAGGAACTGTGAGCCCAAATAACATGTAAGATACATCATTTGAAAGCTAACACCTTCTAGTGTTTGAATATACAAACAAACAATTGAGTAAAACCCAGCCCATGCTGCATCAGCACAAACATGACTAAAAAGTTGTTGTTTTTTTGTCTCGAAAATGATAGGTCTTTTTGGAAACTGAAGTAATAAAGACATGCTTGAGAACAGGCATGTCTGGAAGGGTGGAGGATTTATTTAAATTATTAACAAATTTAAATAAATCCTTAACATTTAATTTTCCCGTATTATATAATAAAGTTCCATTCATTTAATGTCTGCATCTAAAGTAGTAATAATCCCAAATTGTAATGCATTAAATTTGTGGCACTTCTGGCTTTCCGTATCTACTGCTTTGGATAAATAAATGTCTGTTTGTGAGACACGTTTAGTACTGAGCTCAGTGTTTGCTTTCAGAAATGATGCAGTCCCAACAGCTAGCTAGTTTATTGATGGCCTGGCTGATAAATTAGTCAGAGGAAAAGTGAAGTTTCCTCTGAAAGGGTTATGGCTATTGCTGCGTTTACTGATTGCAAATAAAAGGTCAAATAGATTTTATCGAGCCCTGGATGACTGAGAATCTACAGCAGCTTATTGTTGATGTAAAATATTTTTTTCTTAAAGTCCAGTTAAAACCATCCATCGCTTTTTAAAAATGCTGTTTACTCTAAACACAGGATCGCACATCAGGAAAACGTCCAGTTTAACGTACCTGGCGCCCCCTACAGGTGACCTCCGGCCCGGGTCCAGCGGACTCGGTTCCTCTCCCAGGGAGTGGCTGTCTTTGTTGAGCAGCTGGAGCCGATTAGCCAGATCCAGGCCCGACCCGGCCCGGCCACTCAGCTCCAGGGCGGACGCTGAGCGGGTCGTCAGGTCCACCGCAGACCCAGAGCTCTGACCTCCCAGGGCCGCTGGGCGGCCCCCGCCGTCCTCTGGACTCACACCACGACGCTCGTCGTCTCCGCCCCCCCACAGCTTTGACCTCCTCTGGAACAGGTAGCGTGGCTGCCGGCTGCTGCCGCTGGTGGGTGAGGAGCATAGTGGGGAGGATGGGGAGGAGGCGACAGAGGGGAGGAGCTCGCTGTCTGAGGACTGCTTCAGCAGCGGGTCGCGCAACGCAGAGCGACCCCGACCAATCGGCGACCGGAGCCGGGGTTTCAGAGCCGACGGGGAGGTGGCAGCAGATGAGGGAGAGGGGTGAGTGGCAGGGGGGGAGGATGGGGATGTGGGAGCAGGAGGGGAGGCCAGGGTGATGGAGGGAGGGAGGGAGCTAGGGGACAAGGAGCTGTCATGGTGACGCTCTTCACCTCCTTCCTCCTCGTCTCCTCGTTTCCCAAGGGACTCTGGAGCACTCTCGCCTCCTCCCTCTCCTCCTCGTCGAGGCAACAGGGATAACGAGGACGGGGCTGGGGCGGCAGGGGGGCTGGCGAAGGCGGGGGGAGGAGTCACTAGACCAATCCTACGCAGCTCCTCTCTGGTCTCCTCATCGCTGGACGACAGCAGGGCAGGAGGGAGGGTCACGGTGTAGGCCCCGCCCTCCTCCTCTGAGCTGCCCACCGTGAGACTTCTCCGTCTGTCAATCAGAGCCGAGTGGCTGTCATTGGCCAGCGCTGGTAGAGGGGAGGGCCTCCATCTTTCAGGGGAGGGGGCAGCAGGCGATGTGACTCCCCCTTCGGTCTCTGGGCGTTCCACCTGCCCCTCGGGGAACAGCGGCGGCGTGATGCGTTTGTGCCTCAGCTCAGGGCTGGTTTGTGGAGTCGTATGTTTAGTTCGCTGCTCGGGGCTCGTCTGGGGAGAGGTGCGCTTGGATCGCGGCTCAGGGCTGCTCTGTGGGGTGGTGAAGGGGGTGCGCTTGTGTCTGGTCTCAGGACTGGCTGCTGGAGTGGGAACAGGTGTGGTGGAGGCTGAGGTGTGTTTGATTCGAGGCTCAGGACTCGGCGTTCTGGCGGTGAGCGCTCGCTCTCTAGCAGCGAGAGCCAAGGCGAGGGGAGACGACGGATCTGTGGACAGAAACAAGTCGGGGTTTGATTTGAACTTGAAATGGTGACAAATAACTTCAACTTATTTTGGATTAATTACGCAAAATTCACTAAATTTTGTTTTTGAAACATCTGCAAAAATATATCGAAACAAAAGCATTTGTTTATCATTGGAGCAGGTCCTGAATTAAGTCGATTTTTTTCTTGGCAGATCAGCTCCCTTATTCTAATTTAGTTCAAATTCTACAAGATCATTTAACATTTCCTAACCTTTTTATTAACTTTTACTATCCCGGGTATTTATGAGAATTTATGAGATATTTTCTATTTAGAGATTTTCTATATTATTCAGTTTTACAAATATGTCTAAGATATTTTCTTAAGTCTCTGAAATTTTAAAAGCAATACCAGAAATAAAATATATCACATTATTATGGAGATAATCTATTAGTTGACTTAATCTTAAAAAGAAATTAAGGTTCAGTTTTATTAGCAGGAATAAAATATCATTTAGAGCATATGAAAAATGTTTGGTGCAGGATTTTAATGAAAAGATTAAAGGCCAGTTACTGCTTTTAGGGAAATAATGTTTTATTTAATCACAACAGTCAGATTATTTTCTGTAAAAAACGTTCTGACGGTGGAGCTCCTGACATTCAGTGTGCAGCAGAGATTATATCAGTGATTCAGAACACCTTGTTTCACCAACTGCATTTATCCATTAATAAGTTCCTAAACCATTTTACATTTCTAGATGATACAGAAAAGATGTTGCAGATGTTGGTCGAGTGTTTCTGTAGATCAGCTTCCTGTGCTGATGTCTCGCTCAGCTTTGTGTCACGGTTTGCTTCAGACTCTGATGAAGCTGGTAGAGCGGACTTTTCTTTGGCTCTCATGTCCTTTTTGGATTCCCACACCTCACTATGGAAGACGATTAGGGCTACTGAAAAAATAAAAAAGTCCACCAATTTTTAAATTTTATTTCAGTGTAATATCAGAAAAAAGTCAGAATTCTTGAAAAAAAATTCTGATTTTTTTTTTCAAAATTGTGACTCTCAGAATTCTGCTTTAATCTCAGAATTCTGACATCTTTTCTCAAAATTCGGACTTTAATCTCAGAATCCTGATTTTTTCCCCCCATATTAAACTGAAATAATATTAAAAAATCAGTTAATCCTTTTTTATTTTTTCAGTGGCCCTAATCCTCTTCTGTACCTCACTCCTCTCAGTTATAGGTAATCATTTAAGGTCCTTGTATCTTCAGACATAGTGTTTTGCCTGCGTGCTTCCAGTAGCTTTGGATTTGACCACTTAGGCAGAAGAAAACGCCAGTGAGATCAGAAAGAGACGTTCTCTCAGGTCACATACCTGAAACAAGAAGGTTAGATCCATTTGAGTTGACTAGTACTGCTATAGTTCATGTACACACTATTATCACACAGGAAGGAAACAGGAAGATGGAGTAAAACGTACCCGCAGGCATCCATTGCCGCTCATGTTGGCGTCGTAACATCTGTGGGAAGAGGACGTCTCCCAGTGGCTGTTTGTTTCTAAATCCATCCTCTTTAATTAACTCATGTTCTTGCTTCAACTCTGAAGCAACAGTCGGACAGTGTTTAAAGCCAGCGCATTCCCTGATAGGGCGTTGTCAAGGGGAAGTTTCCGCCATGTTTCTCCCACCGTCCAGGCTCAGTGTGTTGGCCTTCCTTAATTAGCAACAAAAAATAAGATCCGGACCATTTTTGGCAAAACTGTCGTCGCTGAAGCTTCAACTTTTTTTCTCCATACAGCTGTGAGGTTTCACGTCTTCCTCGGTGTGGATCCGCCTGCACTTCATAGCATTTTCCTCAGGTGTTTGTTCTACTGTCTGTTTCTCTGTTCTTCTCCCACACGCTGCAACCTGAGGGTTGATTAGCCTGCATCTACGCTCAGAAATAACTTTACTGTTACACAGGAAAACGATCTAGAAATAAGTACACATTTCTTGAATTAATTGTATTTATCCTTATTTTGAGTAGGTAAATATTAAAATAAGATAATATGCACTTGAAATAAGACAATGCGATTGTGTTTTCTTTTTTTAAGTGTAAATTGTCTTGTTCCATTGGCAAAATGTCTCTTTTACCTCCTCAATGCACTTATTTTAAGAAAAAATGACTTGTCTAGATTTAGATTTTTTTACAGCCTACATTCAGTAAGAATTTGCTCATTTTTTCTGTGTGAGGTGAGCGCTGCCAGCAGCAGCATCCGTCTGGTACTTTGATTTAGCAAGAGAATTTAAACAGTTATCAGACTTAAAAATATGTATATTTATTTATATAAATATATTTTATTTATTTTATCGCCTTAGTTTTTTACTTTTTACACGTTATCCTGTTAGTAGTTTGTAGTTTTCAAGCTTTTATTCTTTCATTTTTCAGAAAAAAATTAGGATCTGTTATAAAGATTAAATGTATTTTTATATAAAACCCAAAACAAAAGGGAAACAGGAAGAGTAATGGAGTTAATGTTGCCTGAAGCACCTAGAGGTTTCCCTGTCAGCGGGTGGAGGAAGGTGTGCGGCGTCGGCGAAGGCGACAGGACCGGAGCCGGAGGGGGCAGCTCTCCGAGGTCGTCCATGGAGTGGCTCTGAGTCAGGAGGGGCGGGGCCTGGTTTTCTGACCCCGACCCCTCGACGGACAGGAAGAGGGAGGAGCGGCGACCCTGAACCCGGGCGCGCTCAGACAGAACCTGCTGCTGATACAGCTCCGCTCTGCTGGGGCTCATTAGTCCACCTCTGTCTGATTTGAAGGAATCGTGGTCTTTGATTCCAAGACCTGAAAGGAAAGAAACTGGACTGATACTGAACAGAGGAGGAGTCTGCAGCTTCAAAAAACACCAGACAGCAAATTAAATGCACTGAATCTAGTTTTAAAGAGACAAAATGAACAGCTGCATGGATCCAGGAGGAGATGATAAACATTAACCCTGAAGTCACCTGCATTCATCAGCTGCTCCTCTTTCTGCTCGTCTTAGATTTCACAGGAATTATAGTTTTAAAGTTAAACAGTATGAGCTGATTTCCTGATGATGCAGAAATGAATCAGACACATAAAGATGGAGCATGTGATGCTGAACTCTAACTGCTGATGAGCTTTAATGAGACAAAATCCAACGAGCCAAATCATTGTCCACAGCTGGAACAATTTAATGACCACAGAGTAGTTTCATTAGCAGAATACATTTAGCTGTTTGTTTTCTCACCTGAAGCCAAATTAGAAAACTTCTCACTCTGCTTTTTCTGTTGAAATTCTTTGCACATTTTGTCACAATATAAAAAACTTTATAGTATTTTTGTATTAGGTGTTAAGTATCTCTGAACTGTTAATAAAAGTTATTTATTTCTCCTTCTTATTCTATTTTCTGTTGGTTTCTCAGGTTCGGCCTCCATTAGGAAGGTTAAAGTTTAGGCGGCGGATGTAAATATTTGTTACTGTGCTTTAAACCGATGAACGAGACACGATGAAGGTCAGACAGACGATGATGGACGATGCTAACCCTGCTCTTCAACAGGAAGTTGCTTCAACAAAGGGGACTTCCTCCTCTGGGGTTTGCTGGGCGGAGCCTGATGTCCAACGTTGGCGTAAGGGTTTTCTATCGCTCGTCCCCGGCGACGTGACAGAGGGGAGTGTCCGAGCGCAGGGCTGGCGCCGTGGATGGACAGCGTGGAGGTCTGCGTGGCGGTGTGAAGCGCGTGTGTGGAAGTGGCATGGCCGTCCATCTGAAGCGCCGGCGGGGGGGGTGTGTCCTGCAGGATGATCATGGACCTGGCTTTCCTCTGCCGCTCGGCGTGGGCGTGGCTCCTGGCATCAGAGAGCTCATGCAGGCGTGGCTCCGCCCCTGGTTTAAAGCTGGAGCGTGTTAGCCCCTCCCCTCTAGCCGGGGGCGGAGGAGGGAGGAAGGACGGGGGCGGGCCGGAGTCGAGGAGGTAAAGCGAGGAGGTGGAGGAGGCCGAAGGAGGTGGGGGTGGAGCTGTCTGAGGAGGAGGCGGGATGGAGCTGTCCGTCAAAGAGGAGCTCCGAGGAAAACGGCTCTCATGGATCAGAGCCGAGATCCTGTCATCTTCTGGGGTTCCTGTCAGGTAACCATGGAGACAAGGTGATGAACACAAAAACATATCTAGACTTTCCCCTGACTGGGAAGGAACTGTGGGGTTTGGATTCCACTGGCCTCACCGAAGCTCTTGGTTCTGGACATCCCTCTGGGTAAAGGCATGGTGCTCTTCTCTGGAGCAGAGGGGGGAACCAGACCCTGACGCTCAAACAGAGACTGGAGACACACAGAGGAAAGATGTCAATCATCTCAGTTCATCAATCTGATTGGTTTAAAGCAGCAACACACAGGCAGCCAAGTCTGAGCTCTTTACCTCCCCCTACAGTTGGAAAGTGGAAGTTTTATTGTAAACGGCTAACCTTAAGCCACAATGTTTATTGACTCTATAGCATCAATTTAATATAATGTTAAGAATTAAGTTGGAACTAATAAGGAAGAAACCACTTTTATCTTCTGTTTGATGTCAGTGAGGATCAGAGAAATTATTCTGATTTACTAAATGTTGAGATAATAACACATTAACTGGGAACTGAAGAACCTTGGACGTCCCATTATTGGACGTCCCATTAAAGTTCCAAATAAAGTTAAAAGTAATCCACTAGACTTCGTTTTCAAGTTTGAAGACATTTCTCTTCTCATCCAAGAAGCTTTTTCAAATCAAAATTTCAGGAATAGCGTTGAGTTTGAGCTTTTATGCAGTAGCTCAACAAAGCCCTGTTTTTGTTTTGAAAACATGCAAATTGAAACAGAAGAACGGGTCCACACCTTTGGAATGAAGGTTGTTTGGCTTCTTTTGTTAGCCTGCAATGCCCCATACCTGTCTAAGTATCTGTAAGGGGGGTTCGTTAAAGGGGATTGTTGGCCTGGCTGAATAGGCCAGGTCCTTCGCTCTCCTGCGCTGGGGCTGCAAGGAAGGGATCAACTCTATCACTGCATTGTAGGTTTTTGAAAGCTGAAATCTGAGTCCACCCCCTCTGTTTTAGGTGGGTTTTTCTTTCTGAACATAGATGGCTTCCTTCAGCCCCTCTCATTGAATAGAAAAAGCTTCCTGTATGGGAAGCGAAACGTCTTCAAACTTGGAAAACAAAGTCCAGTGGATTTAAAAAACTATTTCTGGAATGACTGTGACCTGGATGAGTTAGAATCTTCATCAACATATGTCCCATTAAAGACATGAATAAAAATATGAAACGCATGAGAAGAGTTGAGGCTCAATCAGTCCCTTTCTCTCTGCTGGAAATCTAAACTTTCCTTACATTGATCTCGGCCTGCGTGATGCGTCGGCTGGTCGGTCTCTGTTTGACCGTCGCCGCTCTGAAGTCGTCAGACGGACGGGCCCTCAGGACCACTTCCTGTTGACCTCCGGCCAGCATCTCATCCAGTTTCTCTGAAGGAGGATGGAAAAACAAGATAAACAAACTGGAGGATAAAAGACTAAAGCAGGACCACGACATCCATACGTTGAAGGAACACCAAACGAAAATGAGACATCAGGGCCGCCGCCGGATTTTACAAACAACCAACACGTCTAAAGACAAAGATTGAAGTAAATAATACCACATATCTTGCTGCAAATGCTCTGAGATCAATAACTACAGGCAGGCTGTGGCTCAGACTCTAGCTGATATTCTGGGTGGAGGATTTTACTTCATTTTACTGCTAATTAGCAACGAAACACGATGAGTTTTTTTTCTTCTCTCCAGTTCAACTGTAGATTGTTGTACCTTATCTTCTGACCTCTGGTGGTTTTTAACTCTTTCAGAGTTGCTGTTCTTTTTTGTTTCTGTATATTTTTGTGAAAATGTGGACATGTTATTAGCCTGTAAACTAATTAGAGTTTTACTGAGTGAGAACAGTAATGTCAGTGGATAACAGGAAGGTTAAATAGAGTTGTTGGCCTCCGGTTGAAAATTCTGGATGTAGAGAAGCTAGAAATTTTCCTGCATTATTAATTCAAATCTGTCATCAACACATGCAGCAGTGCAAAGGTTTGCTTGGACAGAGTCTTTGGCAGGATCAGCAGTTTCCAGAAAGGACCAACTACCTCTGATTCCCATATTAGCAGTGGTGTCAAAAATACACATATTTGTCACTTAAGTAGAGGTATAGATACTGCAGTTTAAAAACACTCTGGTAAAAGCTAAAGTATAAACTTGACCTCTTTACTCAAAGTAAAAAAGTATGTGCTCCAAAAAGTACTTAAAATGTAATAGTATAAAGTAACCTTTAAAAAAACAGCCAGATGCCACTATATGAATGAAAGCTCAATTTCTCAACTATTTTGAAAAATTCTTTGAGTTAGGGCCAAGGATGAGGGAGGTCTCTGTTTCCATCTCCATCTCCCGATGCGATGTTTGTTTTAAAAATGTAAGGAATAGAAAGTACAGATAGTTGTGTGAAAATATAATGAGTAGAAGTCAGAAGTAGGAAAAAAAATAAGTAAAGTATAGATACCTACAAAGTGTACTTAAGTAAAAAGTATTTGTACTTTGTTACTTACTTGACACCGCTGCATATTAGTTACTGCATATTAAGAAAACCTGTTATGTATGATGTGGTAAATGTTGAGATAACATCTTTTGTGATATATGATTAAATAATTAGAGTGCCACCGGAGTATTCCCCACTTTATTCCTGATTGGATTAAATGAATCTCCGTTCTGGGAAGGGCTGTGAACGCTTTAAGGGGCACTGAGCTGATACACAGAGCAGGCAGCGTTACTGAGAGCTCATCACACTCGCTGCCGTCCTGTTTGCTCCACAGTTACTGGAGGGTTAAAAAAGCAGCATCCTGTTCTCCCTTTAGCTTAATGTTCCTCTGAAGCTGGTTTCCTGCTTAGCTTTCGTTACAGCTGTCCAATGCGTGGCCCCTGACCTCGGTAAAGAATGGTACACATTTGGCCCTTTTGCAACAGGCAAGATGCCAAAACTTTAAAACAAGCAAATATTCAAGAGTTTTTGATTCTTATTATTTATTCTTTTAAAGTCAAACAAAAATCTTAATTTACTTAAATAAGTACTTTCATAAACACTTTATGTTTTGTTCACACCTAAAGCAGCAAAGGCAGCAGAAGCAGCTAGTTTACATACAAAGTCAATCAATGGTTGACGCGCATCAAGGTACAGCAAAGGTCCTGCAGCGCATTTTGAGCAGCAGAAGCAGCTCATCATGAGCTTCTCAGCATCTGCAGCACGCAACGCTGTGGAGATGGAAAAATTTTACTTTTGCCACTGGACGCGCCACATCAACCAATCAGAGAAGCTGATCTGGGAGCTGGCAGAGAGACGGACACATTGCTGCTGATGCAGAGCGCTATCATCACTCCTCCGAAACAGTTTAACGCCTAAATTAACTTTTATTTCGAAACCTGCTGGTAAAATATGTTCAATTTTATTATTCTGGTGCCTGCAGTTAGGATTACGTATGTGAAAAATGCTAGCATCTACTTTCAGTAGCATCAAACCACAAATATGCGTCCGGGCCTGAGGCTGCTGTTAAGCAGGATTCCTAGTGACAGCGCTCCGCCGGTGTACGGGAGTCTGAGCGGCTCCGACAGCGCATTATTTGAAGGCAGGATTGATTAACTGACTACATAGAGGAAGTTTTCAGGTGGACTTTCTCACTTAAAAACATTACAACTACGTTTTACCCGCTGATCACAGCAAATATAGCTGGCATTGTTACAGGCAAAGAGAGGATAGGGTAGCTCCGCCCAACGCGCATCAGACCCAACTTTTGACCGTGCAGCTAGGGCAGTCTGTGCTGCGCCTCAGAACTAAACGGTTATAAGCATAAAAAACTGAAGCAGCATGCGCGTTTTTGCTGCTCCTGCGTGAACGTAGCATTAGATTCATGGAAACTTGAAAAAAAGGAAGAATGACTCTCTGACCCTCTCTGAGAAACTAGACATTTTGCTTTTTAAGGCAACGTTTCAAAGCTAAAGAGTCTTGTATTTAAAGTTTTTATAAATATGTAGAAACCGCTGCAGCAGCTCTAATCCAACTTACTTCACTTTAAACAATATAACACGACTATAATTTTCACAAACTGCATTTAAATCGGATCATTCCTGTGATTGGTTAACTGCCATGTGTTTCACCTGTTTCTCAGACCTGATGTCAGACGTGCAGATAGTTGGAGTAGAAGCAAAGAGAAACAGCCCTTTATTATATGATAAATAAACAATATTCAGCTTTGGCCCTGAAGCTTCATGGACACCATCCAGATGCACAGCATCGCTCCTCCTCCAAACATGAGGGGTCAGAGTTCTTCATGAGGTTTGTTGTTGTTTTGTTTAACAGTTAAAAGCAGGTGGAGGATCATCTTTCACATCCTGCTGATGGGCCAATGCTGTGCATCCTGAACATTAATGACACATCAAGAGTTAACACTGAGGTGGAAATGAGCCTTATGACATCACAGAAACATCACAACTGACTCAGAACCACAGGGAGGCCCGTTTGACTCACCGTAACGTCTCCTCCTGGCTGCAGACAGAGCAAACGTCAGCAATAAAAAACCAAACCTGAATCTGCTGTGTGTTTGGGATTCACCCGCTGTTTGTTTTACCTATCTCCTCCAGGTCGGCGGTCATGGACTTTGATCGTAGCGTCAGCGAGGTGCTGGGGGCCCGCTTTGGAGGAGGCGGAGCTACGAGGTAGGACATGAAGCAGATGTCAGACGGGTTCATGGTGATCAGATGGACTTTCACTGGTTGATAAAAACCTAAACATCTCCTCCTGTGCTTCTAGAAGCTTCACCAGAACATTTAAACCCAGTTTGAATCTGAACTTTAAGGAAGCAGATCTGCTGCATGAAGTCACAGCGATCTGGTCTCACTGTGGGAACGGCTCCTAAAAATGTTTGGACATTAATCTACCACCATCCATCAAACCGGTGTGGTCCAGAACTCCAGCCATTGCTGAAGATGTCATCAACTACAATCGTTCCAGTCAGAATTCCATTAAGAATAGGGAAACTTAATGTATGCTTATGTTATTGTTTATAGTCTTAAGATGGAGCATGCAGGTGGTTAGGGTGAATGACCCATGTACGGAGGCCTCAGTCCTCGACGCGGCCAACCCGGGTTCGAATCCGACCTGTGGTCCTTCTTTAGTGCAGGTTTGTGCATTTAAAATGATCATATGTAAAAATAAAAAAGATCCTCTTTGCTACTTTTGTTTCAGAGATTTTTAATTTGATTTTTTGGGCTATCCAGAGGTTAACCATCCCCCCATTAAGCTCCGAATTGAATCAAAATCTCTACTTTTTCATGATCTGTGCAGTTAAAACTGTTGTTGTGCTGATTTGGTTCTTAAGATACAATTATTTTAATTTTGACCGTTGACGTCACCGTCCCAGCAGACGTTGATGCTGCGCTTTTTTCCTGATATAAAGTTATTGCATAACGTCACTTGTTATTCCTTGGCTGGCACTGAAAAGAACATTAAACATAATGATTTTTTCACAGTTTGGACCAGCCGTTACCCCTGGCAACCCCACAGCATTTCACAATAAAAGCGCAGGTAAAGCTTAACATCACGGACTGCTGCTAAATTGTTCTCTGTGCACAACTTTTGAATCAGCTTGGAGAGTCCACCTATTTTTTCGCAAAAACAACTGAAAGCTCTGAAAAAAAAGAGTCCACTTTGGTTCATCCAGAGCAGCATCTGGATGAGGGTCAGATTTAGCGGGACCTCCTTAAAAATCTACCCACGCAGCGAGTACCTATTCTGAGGAGTGGGCAACGACAGACGGAGGATAATGAACAGCCATCTAGGGCTAAATTAAAACACCTTTTTTTTTCAAACCACCTAAAAACCTCTTCAGATCATTCCTTAATTTCTACCTTTGTTAACATTATTTCTTCTATTTTATTGATAAATCTGATCCGAAAAAAAAGAAAAAAGCTTTTCCCCCGCTGCACTTTTTTGTACCACCTTTGCAGGGAACGGTATAGAAGTGAAGGTGGCCCCACCATCTTCTTCTAATCTTAAAACTCGTGTTAAACGTTTGTGCACCAAAAGTTGTCGATCTTAAGATTTTAAATAAAGTTTTCAACTAATTCATAAAATCAAAATCTCTCTCAGCTTGACTATAATGCACTAAGGTAGCACAAACCCATTTCATTTTTCCCTTTTTATTTATCATATTGAAAATGTGCTCAGCTGACATTTCATGCCGTCTCAAAAGGAATGAAAGATTTTTCCAATCACTACTTAACTGATTGCTCCTTCCTGTGTTTCCAAAAAGGCGACGGCAAAAGTAAATAACCCAGTCCTTCTTTTCACTGTAGACAAGCCATGATGTGCTTCTCTGTTCTCTATTTTTCATTTGGATGAAATAACAGCTGCATGAATCATGACAGCAGACAAGATAGAGGAGAGCAGGAGGCGGGGTTACTAATCTACTCGCTCTGGAGAGCAGAGTTCTCTGCTTTTAGATGTTCTAAAACAGGGCATTTTAACTAAATTATTTTTATAAAAAATGTGCACAAATAAGTAATAGTTGTATTAAACATACATGTAAAAGGAGTTTCATGGGCCCCCCAGAAACTCAGGGCCCTAGGCAAGTCCCTAGTTTTGCCTAATGGTAAATCCGCCCCTGCATAAAGAGTACACACCCATTCCAGATCAGGGACTCTGGGCTGAGTGAAGCGTTACTGTATAGATATAACAGTTTAGTTTATTGATCTCAATCTTTAGCCTTTTTCTATATTACAATCTTATTATCCAAACCTTGAATAGAAGTATTCCTTTCTTTTGTAACTGACACTGATGACACTGTGAAGGGGGAGAACACTTTTAGATTCACACTGTATTCTTTAAAGCGATTTAAAGAAGCAATCGCGACGAAATTACAATTAATAGAGGAGACAAAGGTCAAATTAACCTTTTTATTAAGGAAATCCAGATCAGACCAACATAATACTAATAGAACAATAGCTATTTCTCTTCCAAATGGCTGCCCCGGGAGTTTTAGTTATGGCTACAGGTTCCATCAGTTAACCTGTCAACTTTAACCAACGCCCACCAGGAGTTTTCCACTACAGATCTATTTTACTAGCCTGGCCGGTGTGAGCTAGTCTGTTAAGGCTTTGGTCTAAACCAGGGTGGGCCAATCACAGCACTTCTCTGTAACCATAACAGTCAAGGTTGCAGCTGCAAAGGAGCTGCTCTTTTAAAAAAGTTTTTGAGTCTAATTGTTTCCAAAGTCTTTCTGCTCCTTCCCAGATGAACCAGAGTAGTTCATGGCGTTCTGCTGATGCTAACCCAACCTCTTCTGGTCTGAACTGTCCGAGCCAAGCTTCTACATTTCGATTCTTTAACAACAAACTGGGAAGGAATCCACTTTATGTTGCTCTAACTGAGCTGAGATCTTTTGTCAAGTGAATCCATGTCTTATCGTCTACATCAGGATATTTCTCCAGGTGTTTTGTCACTAATTATGGGGTTAATCTGATTTTTTTTTTTTTTTGAACACGGTCAAAGAAGTGAGGGCTAGAGTGCACAAACCATTTTGTGGGTAAAGTCACATCCTGAAATGGTTTTAATGATGGGCGACATGTTAACAGCCCTACCTTTCTTCCTGATGAGGTTGGTTTCTGATTTTCTGGAAACTGAGACGACTTTCATCAGCAGCCGACTTCCTCCCTGTCGGATCAGAGAGACGACCTGCCGGTGACCCACCTTCACCACGTCGGTCCCGTTAACCTGCAGAGGAAAAACAGGTTTATGGTACAAATACTGAAGGATTACATTCAGTGACCTCTGAATAATTATAGTTAATCCTGCAGATGACCACTGTCACCTCTATGAGGAAATCTCCGGTCCTTAGCCCCGCCCTCCAAGCCACGCCCCCCTGATCCACTGATTCCAGATACTGCAAAGCGGGAAAAGCCGGTGTGGGAGCGAATTCTTCGATAGGCGTCTCAGCTGGAAGCAGAGTTCACAGGTTGGTAAGATGTATGGAAGGCTGTTTTGGACATTATTCCCATGCATTTTAGCGCCACCTGACTGGTAGTCAAATAACTCCACTTTTTGTTCAGGTGCAAAAGCATCACTTTATTCCTTCACTTCAGAAACACACTCACAGAATCCCGAACCACAGAGAGTAATCGCACCTTACAACAATTGTTACAGACCCAACAGTTCCCCCTGGTGGACAGGCATGCAGTACACGTATATAACAAATGAATAACACTGAGGACTGACAGCTGTCCTTCAGTTAGTGACCGGGTTGGTTTAAAAAGTACTTATGTGCCTTTTTCATAAAAGCGGTGTGGAAGGTCCGCCTTTGCTTCATTAAAATCATTAAAAGTCATTAAATGTGATTATTGTGGCATTTAAATTTTTTTGTTTTTTTTTTTACATTTAAAACCTCATCTTCATCTGCTGACAGCTTTGCTTCTCTCCCCTGAGATTTCACCTAAATATATATTACCATTCCACCAGTAAACTAGTTTTCCTGCAATGTTACCTGATTCAAACAACTATGGGAGGCCGTCTGGATATTTATTAGTCTGTGTGAAAAACAATTTTTTATTTTTTTTTTCACCAAAATAAATTCTTTAAACAAAATACTGGTCCTAATTTGTTTTATTTAGATAAACTTATATATATACAGTCAAAGTAATAAATTTGTAAATATTTCTACGTATTTAAAATTCAGTTTCTGCTGGAAAAAATTTATATTTTTGACTAGGAATGTAATTTTGGCTACAGAGAATCCTATTTTATTGATCTACAAATGGAACAGAGAGGGGAGTACTTTTGATAAATGTCAAAACAGCCTGCCATAGTGAACTTCATATAAACCTACGCATTAAATCTAGCAGCATTCTTCCTTTGGTTTGCAGCTGTTGCTGTCTTTTAGTTTCAGCATTAAAATCTCTTGTTCCATTTGTGTGAAATAGGCACTTCCTGTTGTCATGGTGACTCATTGAATGGGTGCTCCACTGTTAATGGTTTTACATACTTGTTACACAGGTGTTCATCTTTGAATGGACCTACTCAGAGTAGATTAAATTTACTCACAGCAGCGTTTATGAGACAGAAAACTGACTTTCCGACCTTAGGCCAGATCAAGTCTGAGTTTGTTAAGCCTGCTTTCCAAACCAGGCCTCTGTTCTCAGCTCAGCTGTATGTAAACTAAACTCCAGACAATCAGATGCTGCTTTCTGATGGATGGAAACAACCAGTTAATCAAAATACTGCAGCTAACCCTGCCTTTTTGTCACTAATCGATCTGTCCCGGAAGCATGATCTGTGCTGCGCATGCGCAAAGAGAATAGCTTCTAGGTAGGTAAGAGCTTTAAAAAATAAGCTGTGGTTTCTCATGGCGTCTGCTACTATGATTGGCTAAAACCAAACTGTAGTGGGCGGGCACTAGGTGCCACTTTGCCCAATCATCTTGGACGGTTCTGTTAAACGGACCTCTACAGGCCCAGATTGATAATATTTAGAACTGAACCTGCTTCAGATGATTAATCTGGATTACCAGGAAAAGACGAGAGAATGTAAACATTTAAGAATTTTATTTTATCATATAAATATCCTTGCTGAGAAAGCTTTTTTCTAATTATCAGGATTTTATTTCTTCACCAGATGAAAACCTGCTCTTTACTGCAGATGTTTGGATATAAACCTGCATAAAAATGCTCCGCCTCCATGGAGGATCACTATTTTACTATATCCGTTTTTTTCCTTTTTCGAGGAGACTGATAACCTGCGCTTTCTGTCCCTCGATGTTTTTTGTGAGGCTAAAAGAAGATCACTACTTTATCCGTTTTCTGTCCCGCTGAACTCAGCCAAAGTTTACTTTTTTAATGTTTCATTGATTTAGTCACAGGCTTTACAGAAGTAGATGAAAAGTTTTGGACAGTAATATAAATAAAATGGAGAAATAAAAAAAAAATAATTACTGGAAATAATTACTGGGGTCCATATGCAAAAATGTACATTAAAATAACACATTCTGGAGATAGTGAAGGTTTCCTTTGGTAGAAACTGTAAATCAGAGAAAAGGCATTTTTCAGATTCATTCTGTTTGGTTTTGATTGGCTGGTGTTGTGGTTCCTTTACACACAGTTAACAGATTAAATTTGAGTCGAGGTCACACAAAAAACCCTACAAAGATCCGCTACCTGGAGCAGGATGCTGTTACCCACCAGTCTAAAGTCTCATTTCACTGGGAACCAGTGCTTCCTTGTAAAGAAGACTTTCTGTAGGTGTTATGTAACAAGACAGCGAGGAGTTTTCCTCTCTAGGCTCAAGTTTAAAATATCTTTCTTTTTTTTCTCTTCCAAACACCCACCACTCCTCCGTTCCTACCTTTAGCTCCTCGGAGGACGAAGCCGAATCCTTCGCTCTCTCTCTTCTGGAGAACGGCCGTTTTCTCCTCGATAACGTAGTCGCTGAAACAGAAAGAGGATTCAGAGTCTGCCTGGAGAAACGACCGGCTGTCCCTTCATGAGATCCTCTGTTACCGCAGATTACTGCTCTGTAACCCGACAGTCCTGTCAGGTTATTAATAGACCATCCAAAAAGCTTTTTATAGCCTCAGTTAAAGTTTGATCTGTGAATAAACATTTCCCAACAGCTTTAGTCCAAGATGCTGTTAATTAAACATGAGGTTTTCTCTAATAAAGACATGCTGTGGTTATGGGGATTATTAAGAGCAGTCAGTATCTTCCTTGCTGCAGTCAGTCTGCCAATAGCGACCTAATGTTTATTTTAAACACCCTGGTATCTTATGATTGTGGAATGAATTTATAGATCTTTAAAAATCGTTTTTTTTTTTTTTTAATCCAAGTATAAACGTCAGAGGAAGGATGAGATAATCAGGTTTCTTCCATAATACCTGCGTGAAGCAAGTTTTCCTTTGAGCTGAAAGGCCACTCAGGAGAGAAGAATCCATGATTTCAAAAGCAACACAGAAAACCCGATTAGAGTTTATTTAAGACTTGGAAGGAACCTTAGGACACACTACCATGAGGCAGAAAGGACTGATCCCTATCAGGGCAGAGTTCTGTCAGATGAGCATACCCGGTCATCTGACCCATAGTCGATATCCGTTTTTGGTGTTTTTTGACAGCGTATGGTGAACTGACCTTAAATTGCTTTTTCTGTAAATGATTAAACGGATGAACGCACCTCGAGGTAGTTTAAAGTCTATTTTTCGTTCAAAACTAAAGGGATAAACTCACGGGCATGCGTATTGACTTAAGTTCTTAAGGTCTTATGGTGGTATGCTGATCTGACAGAACATTGGCCCCATAAAGAAAGACTGTTTCTTTTAAAACATCAGGAGACCTCACTGTCTCGTTATTTACAGTAATTGAAAGAGAATCGGCTCGAACTCCCAAGCTAATAAGGAAACCTTAAAGAGACACAAATGATGGCTTCTTTATTGAAAATGGGTCTTATTATTCTGGCTTTTAGAAAACAAAAAGGGGAAAGTTTTAGTGATTTGGGGTTTTCTCAACTGGTTCTTTTTTCATTAGTTTATGTATATTTATCCATCTACAGCTAGAACCCAATCAGAACCTTCCATCCCTCCCTGGAACCCATGATGGTTTAGAAATGATGAGATGCTGTTCTAAGGGTGTAGTTCTGGTGTCCCACCTGTAGGAGGTGTAGTTGTCGTAGGATCCCACTGTGTAATGTCTGAAGAGCCTCTTCGTGCGGTCCTCTCTCGTCTCTGAAACACATCACATGTTGGAGACCTGCTGACGTTTGGATCGACCTGATCGGGTCGGAGTTCTTACCGAGTCGCGGGTCGTACTGTCTCATCTGGACCTCTTCAACGCAGTCAGCAGGAAACCAGCCGGTTCTGCCTTTAACGGTTCCTTCCCAGAAGCCTCCTTCTCCAATTGAAAGCACTAGAAACACAAACCGGGTCAGAACCGCCCCGAACATCTCCGACCCCCCGGCTCACCCATCTCACCTTTCACCCGCTCCCCCCGGTGCAGCTGGATTTCTCCGGGCCCCTGGGGGACGTGGGACCGGGTGGCAATGAAGGTGCGTCCCGGCACCGCGCTGTACAGCCTCCTCTTCCTCATCTGTGGCGTGGGAGGGGGGGAGGAAGGAGGGCTGGTCTCCACATGACCCCCCCCACTGGGGCTGCAGGGCGACAGACCAGTAAGAGACGCTGGTTTGACTGGAGCTTCGAGCAGGTGAACCTGAGCGTACCTGAGGCGGCGCGTGTGGCGTCTCAGTGAGTGCGTGTGCGTGTCGTGGTGCGTCTCCAGGCTCTGCAGGGAGGGGCCTGGGGAGGAGGCGGGGCTTTCCAGGGCGTTGTCACTGGCTGAGCGAATCAGAGAGCGAGGTGATGAGAGGCCGTTTCCGGCCGGTGTTCTGGTGGCGCCGACCCGGCGGCGCTTGGTGTAGGAGGGGGTTTCTCTGAAGGGAACTACTTGGACACATAAACAGACAGAAGAGAGTTCGACTCAGCAGCGGCGTCAGAACCGGATCTGCCCGGTTAGTGAGAGTCTGTTCACATACAGCCTGAACAACATTCAGCCTTCAACTTCATCCTGACTTTAGACTAACCCTCCTACTGGATGTTTGAAGTCATTTAGAAAGAGACTATAAGACAATGGAAGGCTTTTTTTTTTTTTTTTACATTTCTAAAATGTTATTTTGGCATCAAAAATGTCCTCAAAACGTCAGTGTTGGTCCTTCAGCCTGTTAAAGTGACCCTCAACAATAGTTTTCTCTATGACTCCGCCCACATCCTCAGGAGTCGTTCTGATTTCTCTTTTCTTCAATGCAACGCTGGTTCTATGTACTTGTTGACGCTCACAATAAGTGATGCTTTTGCTAACAGCTACACGTAGCTTATCCCATCGATGCCATGGATTCACACAGAGGAGGCGGCATCAGAGGAAAAACAGTCGATCCTCCAGCAATAATTTATGATAGATTAATATTTCATAGTGTTAGGATAATTATCATTGAAGATGTGAGTTTATCACCCTGCTATGGGCTGCCTGTCGCGCATCAGAACTGAAGTTTTAATCTAATTAGGACAGTTCCTCTGTCTGGATATACAGTTATGATCTTTATTTTGTACCTGCCAAAGTTTTGGAAATGGAAAGAGAGCAATGTCCTATTTTGATAATGCTGGAGCCATGGATGTCTAATCATCTAATGTGTCTGATGTGAAATATGATGATGTGGCAGACTGGAGATGTATAAAATGCCTTTTTAACTGATAATCGGGGCCACTTCCTGAGAGGTGAGCAGCTGCCTTCTGTAACTCTAAGCAACTCCTCTGATCTGAGTAAGATTACAATTTCTATTCAAATCTGTTGTCATGTCTCCTGGTTATTTAATACATATAAGTTATGAAGTGTTATTTAAAGAGTTTGTCCCGAGTGATCTCTTTGCAGGGAAAAGAACCGGAAACATTGAGCATCAGGGTGCATACACAGAGCCTATCTTTAACACTAGTATTGTATCATACATGTGGCTACGGTTGACCTCGGATGGCATAAAGAAGGACAATAAAAGAAAAGTATATATTAATATTAAAATAAAGCACCACAAAGCAAAGTATTTGCTCTGGTTAGAGCCTGAAAATACTTGAACGCCCCTCTGCTGGCAGCTTAAATCCCCTCATTGGAAACTTGAACAGTGGCAAACAACGTAAACATTACTTACTGTATAGATTTGACTGTCACTATAGAAGCCTAAGAATAGCATTGCGCTCGCCGCTATCTGTGGCTGTTTGTTCACACATCTATTAACTCTGCAGTCATTTCACATCTTCACATTTTATTCCCAGCTCTACTTGTGTCCTTTCGCAGGTTTTTTTTTTTTTTGTGGTGCATTTCCTCTTGTCCCATCTCTGCTGTGTGTCGCTGATTCATACCTCTGTTCCTGTCGTATATTTTGGTGAATATAAACTAAAGTGGTCTGTTGATTAACAAATAAAGCAAAATCTAGATGTAAAACAGCAATAAAATTTTAACAGAGATTAATCTATCTCTGTTACAGGGATATGTACCTAAAGCTTTTAAGGTTGCTGTAATTAAACCTCTGCTTAAGAAACCGTCTCTTGACCCAGATGACTTGGTCAATTATAGACCTATATCCAATCTTCCTTTCTTATCCAAAATTCTTGAGAAAGTAGTTGCCAAACAAGTTTGCGATCACTTCCACCATAATGAACTTTTTGAAGAGTTTCAGTCTGGCTTTAGAGCTCATCATAGCACTGAAACAGCTCTGGTGAAAGTCACTAATGATATTCTCATGGCCTCAGATAATGGACTTGTATCTGTGCTCGTCCTGTTGGATCTTAGTGCTGCATTTGATACAGTTGACCATAATATTCTTTTAGAAAGACTTGAATATTTTGTTGGAATTAAAGGAACAGCACTAGACTGGTTTAAATCTTATCTATCTGATCGAATTCAGTTTGTTCATGTTAATGATAGATCTTCAACACGCTCAAAGGTTACCTGTGGAGTACCACAGGGATCAGTGCTAGGACCAATTCTCTTTACTTTATACATGCTCCCAATTGGTAGAATTATTAGACAGCATGGGATTAATTTCCACTGTTATGCTGATGATACCCAGCTATATCTGTCTATAAATCCAGATGAAGCTAACCCATTACATAGATTACAGGCATGTCTTGAAGACATAAAAACCTGGATGACTCTTAACTTTCTGCTTCTGAATGCAGACAAAACAGAAGTTATAGTCTTTGGACCAGAGTCTCTGAAAAAGAAACTGATTAGCCAGTCACTTCATTTGGATGGGATTAAACTGATTTCAGATAATAAAGTAAAAAATCTTGGTGTTGTTTTTGATCAGGACCTGTCATTTAGGTCCCATATCAAGGAGGTTTCTAGAATTTCCTTCTTTCATCTGAGGAACATTGCAAAAATTAGAAATATCCTGTCCAGGGGTGATGCTGAGAAACTAGTCCATGCATTTGTTACTTCAAGGCTGGACTATTGTAATTCTTTACTATCAGGAAGTCCACAAACTGTAGTTAAAAGCCTTCAGCTGATCCAAAATGCTGCAGCCAGAGTTCTAATGAAAATTAAAAAGAGAGATCATATCTCGCCTATCCTGGCTTCTCTTCATTGGCTTCCTGTTAAATCAAGAATAGAATTTAAAATCCTCCTTCTCACATATAAAGCCTTAAATGGCCAAGCTCCATCTTATATCAGAGATCTGATTGTTCCTTATGTTCCTAACAGAGCACTTCGCTCTCAATCTGCAGGTTTACTAGTGGTTCCTAGAATTTCTAAAAGTAGAATGGGAGGCAGATCTTTTAGTTATCAGGCTCCTCTCCTGTGGAACCAACTACCAGTTTTAGTCCGTGAGGCAGACACCCTGTCTACTTTTAAGGCTAGGCTTAAAACTTTCCTTTTTGATAAAGCTTATAGTTAGAGTGGCTCAGGTTATCCTGAGCTATCTCTATAGTTATGCTGCTATAGGCTTAGACTTTTGGAGGACATAGGGACCCCCATTTCATCATTCTGCTTCATTCTCTCTCTGTTCTCCTATTCTGCAGAATCTGTTAGTTCAATCTCTAACCTTCTGCTCTCTCTGCTTTTCCTCAGAGTAGCTTTGCCTCGTCTGTTCCTGTTTGGCTGTGACGTCATCCTGGAAAGAAACATCAGCTGTGCTGCTTCTATCAACACCCTTGTTTATAGATGTTGGAGATCGGCCTGTTTTCCAGTGTGGTCCTGTTTCTCTGACCGTGACTGAGTGGATGTGCTTTCTTCGTCCTCTGGCATGGGAGCTGCCTTGGAGCTCGTCTGCCTGGCTGTGTGTTTCCTGGACGGGGCCGCCTTTTACAGCTGCTTTTTGTATCTCTGCTTCTGTCTCCTTGAACCCCAGTCGGCCTCGGCAGATGGCCGCTCACACTGAGCCTGGTTCTGCTGGAGGTTTCTTCCTGTTAAAAGGGAGTTTTTCCTCTCCACTGTCGCTACAAGCATGCTTAGTGTGGGGGATTGTATTTGAGTCAATGAGTCAATGCAATCAACTGGTTTTCCTTAGATAGAAAACTTTGTATCAATTTGATCTGGTTGAACTGTAAAGTGCCTTGAGATGACATGTGTTGTGAATTTGGCGCTATATAAATAAACTGAATTGAATTGAATTGAATTGAATTAAAATGTAATAAACTGATAGGCTGCAGTTAATTAACAAGACCTGAACGTACAAGAAGTTTGAGATACTGGGTTAGAAATTCATGACTAGGCAGTTTTAAAAACGGAGCTAATTTTAGGTTTGTTATTTTAATTCTGCTGAGGGAGTATCTATGCAACGTTATTGATGAGGTTCATCAAAGTTTTCTGCTTCACCAACTGTGGATTAAACTGCTGATCCTGCTGAACAGAACCAACAAATCCTGACAGGAAACAGACGGAGTCGTGTTTAAACTCACCAACATCAGAGGTTTTGTGGATCTTGATGATTTCAGCCAGATCAAAGTTCCCAGCGATGATCGCCACCTGCACAAACACACAGGTATGAACAGATCAACACGTATGAACGGATCAACACGTATGAACGGATCTACACGTATGAACGGATCCACACGTATGAACGGATCCACACGTATGAGCAGATCCACACGTATGAACGGATCCACACGTATGAGCGGATCCACACGTATGAACGGATCCACACGTATGAACGGATCCACACGTATGAGCAGATCCACACGTATGAACGGATCCACACGTATGAACGGATCCACACGTATGAGCAGATCCACACGTATGAACGGATCCACACGTATGAACGGATCCACACGTATGAGCAGATCCACACGTATGAACGGTCGACACGCATGAGCGGATCCACACGTATGAACGGATCGACACGTATCAGCAGATAGACACGTATGAACGGATCGACACGTATGAACGGATCGACACGTATGAACGGATCAACACGTATGAACGGATCCACACGTATGAACGGATCAACACGTATGAGCAGATCCACACGTATGAACGGATCCACACGTATGAGCAGATCCACACGTATGAACGGTCGACACGCATGAGCGGATCCACACGTATGAACGGATCGACACGTATGAACGGATCGACACGTATGAACGGATCGACACGTATGAACGGATCGACACGTATGAACGGATCCACACGTATGAACGGATCAACACGTATGAACGGATCCACACGTATGAACGGATCAACACGTATGAACGGATCCACACGTATCAGCAGATAGACACGTATGAACGGATCGACACGTATGAACGGATCGACACGTATGAACAGATCCACACGTATGAACAGATCCACACGTATGAACGGATCCACACGTATGAACGGATCAACACGTATGAACGGATCCACACGTATGAACGGATCGACACGTATGAACGGATCGACACGTATGAACGGATCCACACGTATGAACGGATCCACACGTATGAACGGATCAACACGTATGAACGGATCCACACGTATGAACGGATCGACACGTATGAACGGATCGACACGTATCAGCAGATAGACACGTATGAACGGATCCACACGTATCAGCAGATAGACACGTATGAACGGATCCACACGTATCAGCAGATAGACACGTATGAACGGATCCACACGTATCAGCAGATAGACACGTATGAACGGATCCACACGTATCAGCAGATAGACACGTATGAACGGATCCACACGTATGAACGGATCCACACGTATGAACGGATCAACACGTATGAACGGATCCACACGTATGAACGGATCGACACGTATGAACGGATCGACACGTATCAGCAGATAGACACGTATGAACGGATCCACACGTATCAGCAGATAGACACGTATGAACGGATCGACACGTATGAACGGATCCACACGTATGAACGGATCAACACGTATGAACGGATCCACACGTATGAACGGATCAACACGTATGAACGGATCCACACGTATGAACGGATCAACACGTATGAACGGATCCACACGTATGAACGGATCAACACGTATGAACGGATCAACACGTATGAACGGATCAACACGTATGAACGGATCCACACGTATGAACGGATCAACACGTATGAACGGATCCACACGTATGAACGGATCGACACGTATGAACGGATCGACACGTATGAACGGATCGACACGTATGAACGGATCGACACGTATGAACGGATCGACACGTATCAGCAGATAGACACGTATGAACGGATCGACACGTATGAACGGATCGACACGTATGAACGGATCGACACGTATGAACGGATCCACACGTATGAACGGATCAACACGTATGAACGGATCCACACGTATGAACGGATCGACACGTATGAACGGATCGACACGTATCAGCAGATAGACACGTATGAACGGATCGACACGTATGAACGGATCGACACGTATGAACGGATCGACACGTATGAACGGATCCACACGTATGAACGGATCGACACGTATGAACGGATCCACACGTATGAACGGATCGACACGTATGAACGGATCGACACGTATCAGCAGATAGACACGTATGAACGGATCCACACGTATCAGCAGATAGACACGTATGAACGGATCCACACGTATCAGCAGATAGACACGTATGAACGGATCCACACGTATCAGCAGATAGACACGTATGAACGGATCCACACGTATCAGCAGATAGACACGTATGAACGGATCCACACGTATGAACGGATCCACACGTATGAACGGATCAACACGTATGAACGGATTGACATGTATGAACGGATCCACACGTATCAACGGATTGACATGTATGAACGGATCCACACGTATGAACGGATCAACACGTATGAACGGATCGACATGTATGAACGGATCCACACGTATCAGCAGATAGACACGTATGAACGGATTGACATGTATGAACGGATCCACACGTATGAACACACTGATGATGATTGTTTAAACTCCTCTGGGAATTTCTTTACTTGTAGTTTGTGTTTTAAGAGGAGTTTCTAGTTTAGAAAAGCCTGTTTGACTGTTTCTCTGTTTATTTTTATATGAAGCTAAACTGTGTTTCCTCATTTAGGATCGGATCATTACTGTAGAACCAGATGAATGTAGACGAGTCAATTCTGTTCTCCCAGGGAGGATCCAGATTAATGAACTCAGGACTAAGAGTTTGGGGGTTTTATACCAACCATCATCTTACTCAAAATGCAAATAAATTTGGTAAATAAAATGAAAAAGATTTCTTTGCATGAATCTTGTTTATTATTTCTGCACATCAGTTTAATTTAAGATCTGAACCTCGTATGTTCCCGGTTTTTGTCTTTTCGTACCTGAAAGGCCGTCTGGTTGTTGTAGTTCTTTATGTCCTTGTTGGCGCCTCTGAACAGCAGAACCCGGGCGCAGCTGTCCTGCAGAACCGACACCAGCCATGTGAAAGCAGTCAGCGTGTCGCTCATGTGACCGGCTCGTCCGTGTGTTTGGTTACCTGGTTGTACAGGGCACACAGGTGCAGCGCAGTGTTTCCTGAGGCGTTCTGGGAACTCATGTTGGCGCCGTAGAACAGGAGGTGCTCCAAGTGCTGCACGTTGCCATAACGACATGCCTGAACATGCACACAAACACCGAAACACACCCACACAGACAATCAGAACCGAGCAGAACCCGTCATCAGTGGAGCGCTGAATGAGTGTGTGTGTGTTTGTCACCTGGTGGATTTCCTGCCACCCGTTCTCATCAGTGATCCCTGTAACCATGGAAACGAGAACTCTTAGTGATAAAGTGTTTTTTTTCCCCCTACAGACATCGATCAGAAAGCATCATCCTCTCAAACATACCGATGGTGGCGTGGTCCTGAAGCAGCAGCTCGCAGCAGTAGGGGGCGCCGCCCACCATGGCACAGTGGTAGAGCGGAGTCAGACCTCTGCTGTCCTTGTAGTCCGGAGACGCTCCAAGGTCCAGTAGAGTCTGAGCACCAGAACACAGGTCAGAGAGCGAACAGCGTTAAACTGAGGGGTCTGGGGGAGAGACTGGAAGCTTTCCTCACCGTGAGCGCGGCGCTGTTCCTGCAGAGGACGGCCCGGTGGAGAGCCGTGATGCCGTCCCTGGTCCTGAAGTCCAGGTGAGCTCCTCCGCTGCGAAGGACCTTAATGAGCTCACAGCTGTCCTCCAGCTGGACAGCCAGAGTCAGGGGACACTCTGAGGACACAGAGAGGTTCATCAGTCTGAGGAGGAGATCAGCTCTCCATCATCAGACCAATCTTTAGGATTTTTATTCTTCTCACAAAACAAACTGGGGTTCAATAAATCCGTTGGCATTTAAACCCAGTTCTTTGCTAAATATCTTCAAATCGAGCCAACATTGGTCCAATTCTGGATTTCAGGAGGATTTGATTGCCTGAAGGAGTCGGATCAGAATTTAGAGGCTCACCAGAAAATAATTTTGAGATGTTCAGGAAGAAAAATGTATTTTGTGCTCAGGCAGCCTGGTTTCATCAGAATAAATAAAGGATCTGTTCAGAGTCGGGAACGGATCAGAACCTACTGAACCCGTGAGACGGTCGATTCACTAAGCCCGGTTCTGCTCACCTCCGCTGTCCGAGTCGTGGAAGTTCGGGTCCAGACCTTTCTCCAACCATTTGGCCACCTTTTCTGCATTCTTCTGGTGAACATGTTCCATAAATCGCTTCAGATTTGCCTGAAAAAACCCCACAAATATTCAGCCTGAATCACTGTGTTAAATTTATAAACTTAGAGAAGAAATGTGGTCCTGAAGTGGATCTTCATCACCTTTGTGTGCAGCTTTGCCAGCTGCTTATCATCCACGTAACTCTGAGTATAAACTCTCCTCTTATAACGAAACTGAAAAACAGACAACATTTATTTGATCAAAATTCAGTGAGCGACGGGGATCCTCGTTAAGCAGCGAAACAGGCGACGTGTTAACGAGGTCTTCAGACAAAGAACTGAAACTGAGACAAACACAGAGGAGCTGCTGAGGAAGTCAGACGTCTTCCTCGTCACTGGAGGAAACTGATGCTCAGATGGATTAAACCGTCAGATTACAGAGGAGGAAACATCTAAATGTTTAAACTGATGCTCTGACTGAGTCATCGCCCGCAGAAGAGAAAATTTTCCTGAATGTTTTAAAGGATGATGAAAACTTAAGGAGCAGCTCTGAGCTCCTTAAAGCCTTCGTCCTTCAGAACAATGACCTCTGCCAGAGGAGAGCGAAGCAGAGATGTCCGACTGTTACATTTTCTCCCATTAAACCAACCTCCATTACTCTTATAGATTCAGCTGTTCTACAAAGATGACAGAAATATCTTCCAATATTGATGAAAAACACATTTTAAAAAAGTTATTTTAGGAAAGGCTTATAAAAAAAAATTTTTTATATTTAATCTAGAATTCAGAAGGCATATGATAACGTTTAAACTGTACTTTTAAGATTTGCCATTTCAGATATGTATTTTTCATTTTGTTTATAAACAGTTTTTTCATATTAAATGTTTGATCTTTTATTTTTTGCAGATAAATTTTTTTCACTGTATTGTACTTTAAAAGAAATTATTATTTTTATTGGTATTTCCATTTTTTTTACTGTTATATAAAAAAAAATCTGTTTTATATATATATATATATCTTTATATATATATATATATATATATATATATATATATATATATATATATATATATATATACACTATATTGCCAAAAGTATTTGCTCACCCATCCAAATTATTGGAATCAGGTGTTCCAATCACTTCCATGGCCACAGGTGTATAAATTCAAGCACCTAGGCATGCAGACTGTTTTTACAAACATTTGTGAAAGAATGGGTCGCTCTCAGGAGCTCAGTGAATTCCAGCGTGGAACTGTGATAGGATGCCACCTGTGCAACAAATCCAGTCGTGAAATTTCCTCGCTCCTAAATATTCCACAGTCAACTGTCAGCTGTATTATAAGAAAATGGAAGTGTTTGGGAACGACAGCAACTCAGCCACGAAGTGGTAGGCCACGTAAACTGACGGAGCGGGGTCAGCGGATGCTGACGCGCATAGTGCGAAGAGGTCGCCAACTTTCTGCAGAGTCAATCACTACAGACCTCCAAACTTCATGTGGCCTTCAGATTAGCTCAAGAACAGTGCGCAGAGAGCTTCATGGAATGGGTTTCCATGGTCGAGCAGCTGCATCCAAGCCATACATCACCAAGTGCAATGCAAAGCGTCGGATGCGGTGGTGTAAAGCACGCCGCCACTGGACTCTAGAGCAGTGGAGACGCGTTCTCTGGAGTGACGAATCGCGCTTCTCCATCTGGCAATCTGATGGACGGGTCTGGGTTTGGCGGTTGCCAGGAGAACGGTACTTGTCTGACTGCATTGTGCCAAGTGTAAAGTTTGGTGGAGGGGGGATTATGGTGTGGGGTTGTTTTTCAGGAGCTGGGCTTGGCCCCTTAGTTCCAGTGAAAGGAACTCTGAATGCTTCAGCATACCAAGACATTTTGGACAATTCCATGCTCCCAACTTTGTGGGAACAGTTTGGAGCTGGCCCCTTCCTCTTCCAACATGACTGTGCACCAGTGCACAAAGCAAGGTCCATAAAGACATGGATGACAGAGTCTGGTGTGGATGAACTTGACTGGCCTGCACAGAGTCCTGACCTCAACCCGATAGAACACCTTTGGGATGAATTAGAGCGGAGACTGAGAGCCAGGCCTTCTCGTCCAACATCAGTGTGCGACCTCACAAATGCGCTTCTGGAAGAATGGTCAAAAATTCCCATAAACACACTCCTAAACCTTGTGGACAGCCTTCCCAGAAGAGTTGAAGCTGTTCTAGCTGCAAAGGGTGGACCGACGTCATATTGAACCCTATGGATTAGGAACGGGATGTCACTTAAGCTCATATGTGAGTCAAGGCAGGTGAGCAAATACTTTTGGCAATATAGTGTATATATATATCTTTATATATATTTTTAAAAAATATAATATTCAGGGAGGATGAACTTTTTGAATTGCATCCTCTTACAGATTTTACCCTTTATAATTTTGGGAGGTCTGTGTTTGGACCATTAAAAAAATGCTTTTTTCAACTACTTGAAAAATGTGCAAAAATGTGAAAAAATGATTTTGTCAGATATTAGATCAAAATGGCAACATTTTTATATACTCTTACTTTTTATGTTCTTAAACCCCCAACCACTAGGTGGCAGTGCACCTCTCAAGAAGCCATTATTCAACTGCTCTGCACCACCTGCAGCAAAACGACTATGAGGTTTTCCAGAGCTCTATTATTGATCATATTTGTTGAAGGATAAATGGTTTAGAATTTAGATCAAAGCAGATGAGTGAGAATGGTCTAGTTAAAGTCCAGAGAGAGGTGGAGCTGCTGTGCATAGAGGGCGTGTCGTGACTCAGGTGTTGCTGAATTCTACATACAATCATTTCTGCTCTAGTTGTCAAATAATTTCACTTTTATTCCTTAAAATGTCATAAATTCTCAAAGACATTTGAGACGTTTCGTTAATGGGAGAAAATGTGATGAATTCAGGATAAAAAAATTTGCTACAGAACCGACATCTTAGTGTAACTGTAAAGCATGGCGGAGGAGGTTTAATGATGTGGGATCATCCTAAAGTTAAAGTCCTAAATCGAATGCTTAGAATATTTAGAAAAACACATTTCTGGAGAAAATAAAACATCTTTTACCTCTTTTTTTTTTATTGCTGCTTTTTATCAGTAAAATGAATGATGTTTCCAACAGAATTATAGAAATATTGGTTCTGGTCACAAAATTGTTAATTTGGATCCGTTTAAATGAGAAAAAAAGTCTGATAAATGTTCAGTAAGTTGATAAAATCTCAGTTTCTTTCAGGCCTATTTTGTTCTACTACAGGTTCCGTTAGTCTGTGATGAAAAGTTCTGGTGGCGTTTACCTCCAGATACGGGATGGGAGTGATGGGGGGAAGAGGATACTCCTTCAGCAGGCGCTCCTCGTCCAGAAACTTTCCGGCTCGGCCGTTGAACGCCGGCTGGAAGAGACCATAGTTCAAAACATCCGACAGAGACTGAGTCAACGTCACCAGAACCCTCTGCTTACTGGTCCAAACTGGTAACTCTGGGTCCAACCGCAAACACTTCTGAGAGAGCCGGAGCCAGAGAGACAGACAGAAGGACGGACAGAGAAAGAGACAAGACGCGGACAGACACATAGACAGGTTTGTGCCGTGTTTCATGATCCATGTTTCCTTCCTCGCTGCCTTCCTGTGAGCGCGTTACCGTCTGCTGCAGATCCGGGATCCCGATTCGGACCACAATGCTGTTTCCAGGGGGCGTGTCCTCCCCGTCGTCGTCCCTGGCGACAGCAGAGCCTGTTGGGTTGCCGTTAGTAACCGCCTGTTGCCGCGGGCGATCATGTTTGGTGTCAGCGATCGGACTCAGAGGCATGTGGCTGGAGGACAGAGAGGCAGCGTTAAGGACGAAGCTCTGGTTCCGTTTGGGCCTGGAAATGTTTTCATTCCTCCTGGAAAACTGAAAAAGCTGCAGCTTCTGGGATAACTCACTCTGTAAAGAAATGTTTTATTTATTTCATAGATAACATTAAAAATGCCTGCAGGGAAACTGCTCTGTTTTTTTTCCTCCATAAATTAATGATTAGTCACTGAATAAACGTTTTATTTATCCTGCTGTCTGCGAGGAGAGACAGACAGGAGTCTGAAATCCTCCCACTGATGAATCTCTCAACAGATATTTGACACCTCAGCTGGTCCACTCCAGAAGGACAACCTTTGCGAGGGATTCTGTCCCAACCTCCAGACATTTCATCACATCCTGTTTTCCCCCATCAGCTCAACGCCTGCAGAGACAAGCCGTGTCACCTCGATTTAACAAGAAACTTTTTCACATGAATCCGACTGCAGGTGATGTTTAAGGCTCTGGGCTGCCAGCCATTAGCTCCATGACCCACATACAGGTGCTGGTCATAAAATTAGAATATCATGAAAAAGTAGATTGATTTCAGTAATTCCATTTAAAAAGTGAAACTTGTATATTATATTCATACATTACATACAAACTCATATATTTCAGATGTTTATTTTGTTTAATTTTGATGATTACAAATGACAACAAATGAAAATCTCAAATTCATCATATCAGAAAATTAGAATATTACTGAAGACCAATAAAAACAAAGGATTTATAGAAATGTTGGCCAACTGAAAAGTATGAACATGAAAAGTATGAGCATGTACAGCACTCAGTATTTAGTTGGGCCTCCTTTGGCCTGTATTACTGCAGCAATGCGGCGTGGCATGGAGTCGATCAGTCTGTGGCACTGCTCAGGTGTTATGATAGCCCAGGTTGCTCTAATAGTGGCTTTTAGCTCTTCTGAATTGTTGGGTCTGGTGTATTGCATCTTCTTCTTCACAATACCCCATAGATTTTCTATGGGGTTAAGGTCAGGAGAGTTTGCTGGCCAATTAAGAACAGGGATACCATGGTCCTTCAACCAGGTACTGGTAGCTTTGGCACTGTGTGCAGGTCCCAAGTCCTGTTGGAAAATGAAATCTGCATCTCCAAAAAGTTGGTCAGCTGCAGGAAGCATGAAGTGCTCTAAAACTTCCTAGTATGTGGCTGCGTTGACCCTGGACCTCAGAAAACACAATGGACCAACACCAGCAGATGACATGGCACCCCAAACCATCACTGACTGTGGAAACTTTACACTGGACTTCAAGCAACGTGGATGAAGTGCCTCTCTTCTTTTCCTCCAGACTCTGGGACCTTGATTTCCAAAGGAAATGCAAAATTTACTTTCATCAGAGAACATGACTTTGGACCACTCACCAGCAGTCCAGTCCTGTTTCTCTTTAGCCCAGGCAAGACGCTTCTGACGCTGTCTGTGGTTCAAGAGTGGCTTGACACAAGGAATGCGACAGCAGAAACCCATGTCTTTCATACGTCTGTGTGTGGTGGTTCTTGAAGCACTCACTCCAGCTGCAGTCCACTCTTTGTGAATCTCCCCCACATTTTTGAATGGGTTTTGTTTCACAATCCTCTCCAGGGTGCGGTTATCTCTCTTGCTTGTACACTTTTTTCGACCACATCTTTTCCTTCCCTTCGCCTCTCTATTAATGTGCTTGGACACTGAGCTCTGTGAACAGCCAGCCTCTTTAGCGATGACCTTTTGTGTCTTGCCCTCCTTGTGCAAGGTGTCGATGGTCGTCTTTTGGACAACTGTCAAGTCAGCAGTCTTCCCCATGATTGTGTAGCCTATAGAACTAGACTGAAAGACCATTTAAAGGCTTTTGCAGGTGGTTTGAGTTAATTAGCTGATTAGAGTGTGTCACCAGGGGCCATCAATTTTGAACCTTTTCACAATATTCTAATTTTCTGATATGATGAATTTGAGATTTTCATTTGTTGTCATTTGTAATCATCAAAATTAAACAAAATAAACATCTGAAATATATGAGTTTGTATGTAATGTATGAATATAATATACAAGTTTCACTTTTTAAATGGAATTACTGAAATCAATCTACTTTTTCATGATATTCTAATTTTATGACCAGCACCTGTACATGAAGGGGCATGAAGCTGATGATGGGTGGAGAACTCCCTCAGTGACAGACTGCTGCACCTTATGTGCACAAAGCAGCATTATCACAGATCCTTCCTACCAACAGATGTTTTGCTGCTTTTCCCAACAATTATACATGTGGATCTTGTAACTCACCCTCATGCTGCTAAAGTACATTTCCACCCAGGCAGTAAAATAAAGGAACATTCTTTTCTACTCTATTGAGCTGAAAATTATATTTAACCTTTATTTTTCAGGCAAAAAATAAGCAAGGTCTCATTTTCAAGGGCCAACAGCCGCATCTCAGAAACACAAATGAAAGAAACCAATAAAATGGAATGAATTATCTAAAGGATCATTTTGACTTAATAATCACAATAAGACTCCAAACAACAATAGAGTCAAACAACTTTAGAGAAGAAACTTAAATGGCTAAATGAGGTCTGAAAGGGTCAAGAGATAAAGAGGCATCCATCAGCCGTTAAAGGACTGCCAAAAAACATATAGTAGGTGTGTGAAGAATTATATGTAAACTGATAAACTGCTTGACATTCGAAGGCGGAAACACAACAAGAAACGGAGAGGATGATTGATTTTTAACATGAGGATGTTAAAGAAACAAACAAAGCAATAAATGTTTCCAGTAAATGACTAAATGTACGACGATTACATGATGATCATGTAACCGGGAGGCTGGATAGACGTCCTCTGGCTTCAGACGAAGAGGATCAGAACACCTTTGGAACCATTTTTAGAGACGATGAACATTATCCAGAGTTAAAAGAACTGCACAGTTCAGACAGGAACTGGTTTAAGTTTTTAAATTTCATTTAATTTGAGTCAATAAAAGCTGTGTTCTCGTTTCACCTCAATCATATATCGAAAATTAGCGTCTCCTCTTATGGCAGCGTCTATGTCAGATAAAGCGAAGGTATGTTGTTTAAATATTAGTGAAACAAACTGTGCTGTAGTTCACTGTCTGAGCTGGGAGTACTCATAGAAGTGGCTGCGTTTTTTCCAGCTTTCTGCCACCACCACCCAGCTTGGCCAGGTTTATAGCGCCCCTATAGGCCACTAGCAGCACTGCATCGGCTCTTAATGAACTGGTCTGCCTCAGTGTTCTGGTTCTGATAGCCGATCATTTTGGACCAGCAGACCGAGAAGTCATGGAGTAAATTTAAAGCAGCATCCCTCCTCTAGATGAAATCCTACATTAGAGAACCAGAAATACGTCTCATCGGTTTGGTAGGCTAACAGCTTTTAGCTAAGTTAGCTCAGACTTGCACAGGTGAGTTTCTGAGAAGAGCAGTCTGCACCAGGAGCTGAATATTTATGGAGTGAATTTAGTTTCATTATTGTTTCATACAAGAAAACATCAAATGGTAATGTGAAAAAAGTAAATCCAAAAGTGAATCTTTCAAAAACGTAATTTTTTTTCTGAGAATAACTTTGCTGGGTGTAATAGATTGTATTCTATTTTTTCACAGAAAAAAAAAAAACTGAGAAAAAAAATCAATTTTGTCAAAACAGTAAAATTTTTATTCCCAAGTTGCATTTTTTCACATTTTCATTTTAAAAATGTGTGCTTTGTAGAAACAATATTGGTACAAGACTCACTCCATATTTATTAACCTGAAAAAAGTCATGAAATATATTTCAAATAAAGCCCATACTAGGGGTCAAAGGTTACTCAGTGCTGCTTTTAGAGATTTACCAGAAAGTCAGTGTTTTAGAAATGCAGCATGAAGATAGTCAAAGTAGCACGGCAGCTTCCAATGCTGTTTTTATTTCACTGAGAATTAGAAGATGGAACGAGAGGAACCCAGCAGCATCACTGGAAGAGCTGCACCAGGGGTTCCTCCTCTTTAAAACACCTCCGTTAAATGAAAGTCCTGCAGAGGAAGAACCAGCATCGGAGCCTCTGAACAGCCAAGATGTCAAAACAGTATTAAAATCCAGAACTTTTTCCTTAATCTCAGCCTCTCAAATATTCTCACAGAACTACATCACCTCTGAGTTAGGAGCAACTCGGCCAATAATAACTTGCTTACTGCCAACATATGAACTGTTCAGTAATTTGCTCATAAAACCTCCATTGCAGCAGAACCGGGTCGGCCCCGGAGCTTCCTCCCTGCAGGCTGCGGGAATCCGATACAAGAACGAAACATTACCACGTCTTTTAATTATCGTTTTTATTAATCTGCTCGGTTGATAATTACTAGCTGAACAGCGGCGCTGCAGATGGAGTCAGAAGTTGGTGTCTGGCTCCATCACAGCTGAGGATGAAAGCGAGGCAGACGGAGAGAAAAGACCGAGTTGTGAGTTGTCATAGAAACTGGATTAGCAGGGAATCCTGTGCTAACCTCTCTGTGTCACAATGTGTGTGTGCGTGTTTAAAAAAAGAAAAAAACTGATCTACATGCTCTGTTGCCACGGCAACGCGGTTGAACAATTTTTCAGTACCTGCTGACTCCCTCTGACAGCCTCTCACATACAGCCAACCAGATGTGAGAGTGAAGAGGAGGAGAGTTATCGTCAGCAGGTTCTGGTTCCCAGTATCAGATGGATCTGAGGTGGACTGGGAGGAGGCCCAGATGTGGAGATGTTCCCAGCAGGAAACACTCCTGGTTAAAGGGCCACGCATTGAGGCACATGTTATAGGGGTGGTTGACAGAAGGGGGCAGTATTGCTCTGTTATGGTACTGATTGAGACAAAATACAAAACACCAGATTTCTAACCGATCTGTACTGGAAGCTCGATCCGCCTCATGCTCCCACAAACCGGTCCGGATCACTGCTTATTACATAAATGTGCTCAGAGTACAGATCTCTATCCTTAGTTACAGAAAGACATCAAAGTACATAGG